AAAACCCAAACAACTGTGATTTCCTTGAGGCTGTCCTAAGCCTTCCTTTGCACCCTGGGGGACACTGCCTGCTGCCCTTCAGGGAACACCTGGGCAGTTTGGGGCCTGCAGGGAGAGCCAGAGCCAACCTTCTAACCACACTAACCACTTACCTGCCCAGGCCCTGCGCCAGATACTGAAGACTCACATTTCTCTTTCTTTTAGGCTATGAACATTGTCACTTCGGTGCTCCTCCTTTATGCCAAAGAGGAGGAAGCTTTCTGGCTGCTGGTGGCTCTGTGTGAGCGTATGCTGCCTGACTACTACAACACAAGGGTTGTTGGTATGTTGTGGGCACATTTTCTGAAGGGACAACACAAAAATAGCCAACTCAATTGGTGGCATTTGTACTGAAACAAACAGATGTGTTGCTGCATGTGTGGCACAGATACAACTGTCAGTGCTAGTGGCAAACAACGTGCTCAGCAGCATAGGAGCAATTCCCTGAGCAGATACTGTGAGAGTTAATTGTTTTTCACTTAGGATTAGACCAAAAATGGGCTTAAAGTAAATTGAAAAGAGATGGGAGGCTAAAATGTGAATTTTAGATGATCCAGTTATCTAGCTAAGGTAAGGTGGGAACAGTTTGCAGAAGTCTTTGTGCCTGTTTACCTCTGGTCTGAGAGGGCACAAGTACCTGAAGTTGTTGTCAGATTCGTTTCCTTGTGTATATGGGAGTGAGTGACCCTTCAATTTATCATCAAGATTGTGTTTACTGTAGCTCACAAATGATCCTTCCTGGGCTGCCTGAGGCACTGATGTTATGGCACAGGAATGTACAGCATGGGGTTCTCTTGGAATAGATCAAACCCTCTCAGCCACTCTGGCCTCGTTCAGCAAGTGATGCTGAGGTCTCTCTCCAATTAGTAATGGTCATATCAAGGCACCATTGAAGTCCTGTAGGTGCTAGGCCAAATGGACCCTTTGTTAGCTGTTGTAGGTGTATAATTAAAGCAGAAAAAAACCCTCAGTTCAGTTTGTACAGCTCAGTAGTGCAATGGAATCTGTTGTTTATCTGGAAGGGAGAAAATGTGTGAAAGCATCATGCAGAACATTCCTAGGCTTTGTATTTATAGAGATGTATGTCTATGTATTTTTCTCCCCCAAGGGGTGATGTGCCAGTTGCCCCTGAATTAATGGACACTCAACCTCCCTTTCCCAGGAGCTCTGGTGGATCAGGGTGTCTTCGAGGAGCTGGCTCGAGACTACATCCCACAGCTGTATGACTGCATGCAGGACCTGGGGGTGATATCCACCATTTCCCTGTCCTGGTTCCTCACTCTCTTCCTCAGTGTCATGCCATTTGAGAGTGCAGTGGTGGTTGTGGATTGTTTCTTCTGTGAAGGAATAAAGGTGATATTTCAATTAGCACTCGCTGTCCTCGAAGCTAATGTAGACAAGCTGCTTAACTGTAAAGATGATGGAGAAGCCATGACAGTCTTGGGAAGGTATTTATTGCAGAAAATACAGTATCTTATTTTCTTTTTCTTTTTCCTTATTTTTCCAATTTGTGTTCTGTGTTGAAATGCTAAATTTAAACCAGTATGACAGATACAAATATTTTCCATGCTTGTTGTCCCTCTCATCCACATAAGGCACTCTATGTTATCTTAAAGTAATGTTAAGTAACCAACGAGATACTGATTCTTCTTTCAAGACATACAAACAAACTTCCCAAACCTGGTTATAGAAAGGTAATTAGGATGATAATTTCAGTTGGTTTCATGGATTTTTTTATCTCACCCTTTGCCTGCTACTTTACCTGTGTTTCTAAGGAAAGGCCTCAGTGTCAAGGGAAATAGAAGAACTGGGTAGGATCTCGAGTGAGACAGGAGGCTGAGAAGTTGTGGCTTGGGCCATTTAATAGAAACTAATCCTGCTGAGTGTAACCTCTGATTTCCTTGTGCTTGGTAGTGGTGCTTAGTTTCCAAGATGCTGCTGCAGCTTTGCATTGCGTTTTCCTGCCAGGTGCATTAGTACAGCCTCACTCTTGGTGTAGAGCAGCTTGGGCATTTCTTACGTGTAACAATCTATGTATAACCCTTGGCCTGTTACCCCTTCAAGGGAAAGGGGCAGAAATGCATCTTGGGCCTCTCATTCCTTTCTGTTTGTTTTTTTTCCCCCCAGATACTTGGACAGTGTAACTAACAAGGACAGCACTCTCCCACCCATTCCTCATCTGCACTCACTGCTCAGCGACGATGTGGAGCCTTACCCTGAGGTGGATATTTTCAGGCTGATCAGGTCTTCCTATGAGGTAGGGTAAGAGTTCTTAACAGGAACTTGCCAATGTACACAACTTCTGCTTCACAGGGGAGTTTGATACTCTGTACCTTGGCTTTGCTTGAAACTGAAAGAACATAAAAGAAATTTAGACTCATCTTGGAAGGGAAAAAGTAAAATCTAGTGATACATTCCTGAAGTCTTCATGACTTTGTAATGTGTTGGGAAAATGCCTGAGCAACAGTTCCAGTTGTGGTATATCACATCATTAGTTTTTCAAATGAATTAAAGGTAAGTAAATATTCCAAGTACTAATGCCCAATATCCTGTCCTGCTTTTCTCCCTGTCAGAAATTTGGAAGCATCCGAGCAGATTTAATTGAGCAAATGAGATTCAAACAGAGACTGAAAGTTATCCAAACTCTGGAGGACACTACAAAGCGCAACGTGGTGAGTACTGGAGTTATGTTCTTTGCAGATGTTAAGGTCACTTTGTGAACATGGAATCAGTTTTCAGTGAGCCATGGATTCCAAACCGTAACTGTCCATGCTGTGTCTCCCAAGGTCCGGACAATCGTGACGGAGACTTCCTTCACCATCGACGAGCTGGAGGAGCTCTATGCTCTTTTCAAGGTAAGCAGCATGAAGAGAAGATCATGTCTCTCAGGGAGTGCAAACGTTTGCTGTGACATGGCACTGTCTGTTCCAAGGACCAGGTTGAGTCTCTGAGTCACTGTCAGGTATCTTGAGATAAACTTGAGTTAGCCTCTGTATTACTGATATACACACACAAAGCCCCAACAAAACCAAAAATACAACCAAGCAAACAAAGCCAAACCAAACAGGACAAGCAGTTTTTAAAACATCAGGAAAGGAGTAATTCACTAAATGTGTCCATGGGAAAAATGAATTTACTCATGAAAACCTAATGAAAAAGTGAATGGCCAGAGGCCTTGGGTCAGTGTTTACAAACTTACCTGACCAAGTCTGGGAATTTAGCACAGAAATACCTTTATTCTGTTGGCTCAGACAATTAATACTTTGACATTACAATAGCTGATTATTGTTGACAATTTAATTATTGCCTGGGAATTCAGTGTCACAAGGTGCTGTGTCTCTAGGCTGTGAGCTGTGCCATCAGGTCCTCACGTTTAAAGGGGAGCAGTTAAATGCCTTCACTTTCATGCAGTGTCTTTAAAACAGGACACTTTGTTCCTCTGTTTTGTTATCTAGAGACAGTGACAGATCTTGTGACTGTCCAAATCCTGCAGTGCCTTCGCTCAGTCCTCCAGAGTCAGACCAGGTCAGACAGTCCACCCTGGCTGGTCACTGTGCAGTGCTAAGATCTCTTTCTCCAAACTTCTCAATCATTTTGGTCTAGATTGTGCCAAAATCAGCCTGAAAGTGCATTGTTCAGTATTTTTGAGACTCTACAGTTCAACAAAACCAAAAATTGAAATAAACAGCTCTCTTCATGTGATTGAAGCCTAAATAAAGATTCATGAGACTCCCTGGCTGACCCAACCAGGGGGTGAGGGTGAGGGGGGCTGAGCACAACCAGCCTGTGTGTGTGTGTGTGTGTGTGTGTGTGTGTGTGTGCGTGTGTGTGTGTGTGTGTGTGGGCAGCACAGTCACAGCTGTTTACTGCTCTGTTCAAAATGGGCATATTGATGTTTCATCTGCCTGGGAGGCAGAAAAGTTATGCTTTGTCCTCTTTTGCTGTGGAGGAATGTCTGTCTGTGCTGGTTAGAGGAGAAACCTCTTCCAGAAGGGGAAGGGCTGGGCAGACAGAAATGCTCTGTGTCTGTGGTTTTAAGGACATGTGCTTAGGTTGTTTGGGGGTTTTGTCACTGACAGTGACCAGTTGTTGGCAGAGGTCTGACAGTCTCACAGCACTTCCCTCCTTTCAGGCAGAACATCTGACGAGCTGCTACTGGGGTGGGAGCAGCGCGGCCCTGGAGCGGCACGACCCCAGCCTGCCCTACCTGGAGCAGTACCGCATCGACCTGGAGCAGTTCAAGGGCATGTTCAGGCTGCTGTTCCCCTGGGCATGCGGGGCCCACTCGGACACGCTGGCTGCTCGTCTCTTCAGGCTCCTGGACGAGAACGGCGACCTGCTCATCAACTTCCGCGAGTTCGTCTGGGGCCTCAGTAAGAACAGTTTGAGCAAACCCTGTGTTTCTCAGGGGCACAGACCCTGCACTGGCTCGCAGATAATGAGGCTGAGTTTCACCTGTGCTGGTTTCTATGAGTTACCAGCTGCACATTTTGCTCCTTTTTGGGAGAAGGTGTCCTAGTCTGGCCTTCAGCACTCCTTGTAACAGCATGTTTAAGAATGAGGGTTCCCATTGCAGTCTGGCATTAAAACCTCCTGGCTCAATTCTTTGGCCCAACGTCTGTATTTAGTGTAGGGTTAGCTCTGCGAGAGGCTGTGACTGTCAGTGTTGGCCAAAGCTCCTTTGGCAGTTTGCAGAGCAGGCTGAGGTGACACAGTCACCTGTGAGGTAAAATGAATCTCTGCAGAACCTAACTGAAGGTTAACTCATTTGTGAATGGTATGTCACAGGTGAGATCTGTGGCAAGTCTGATTACCAGTTAGGTCATTGCTTTCAGATTAGCTGCTGCCCATTTAATGAGTGGGGAAAAGGGCTCCAGTAGAGTGCTCGGATTTCATACAGCTACTTGTAGTGTAGGCCAGAAAGGACCAGGGATGGGTGAGGATAAATCACTGGAACATACCAAGTGAAGACCAGTTCAGCCCACAGCTAATCTCTGATAAATGCTGCTTACTTAAAAATCTTTTTTTTTTTTTTTTAAATATCTTAATGCTCTGAGTCATGTGATGTTATATTGGATCCTCAGGTCAGAAAGTTTGAAGTCCACACAAAAAGGTCTTGTTAACTTCCAGCTGGAGGCTCTTCTGGGTGGTGGTGGCATGACCATAGCTCATTTCTGAGTGCTACAGAACAGGCATTTGGTGAAGGGCCCTGGGCTGAAGCACAGAACTCAGGGTGAACTGGGCTGTGTTCTCTGGCTCTTCCCACCACAGAACGTGTGATGCCAGGAGCCCAGTGACTGCCCCGTGGCCTAGGGCTGTGGGGAGCTCAGTGCTGCCCAGAGTGCCAGGCACTGATGCCCTGTCTATGCCTCTGCCCAGGTGCAGCGTGCCACGGGGACCTCACGGAGAAGCTGAAGCTGCTGTACAAAATGCACGTTCTGCCCGGTAGGTAAAGCTGTTGTGTTGAGAACAGGAATGTGGAGCAGAGTTGTTTATGACTAGCTCTCCCAATTAAAAATTAATTTGTGGCAGTTCTTGTTGCTGTTGATGCAGCAGTGAAATAAGAGTTCCTGCCATAGCCAGCCCCAGGTGTGGGAAGGCTGGAAGCAGCCACAGAGCCCCAACAGCCATTCCTGCATGTCTCCTGCCTGGTAAGCTGGGGCTGGTCACATCCCATGCACAGAGTTCTCAGACATGTGTTACCACAAGGCACTTCATCTCACAGCAGAGCTGGCTGTAAATGCTCCTGCCTGCCCTGGCTCCGCACTCCTGTCCTCAGGCTTCCTTCTTGCTTCCCCCTCTGACATGCTGTTTGCAGAGGGAAGCTCCAGATCCTTCCACAGATGTGTTTTCTAGGGAGCTGTGCAAACTTGGACTCAGCTAAGTGAGAGGCAGTGTAGGGTGGAGAGGGGAGGAAAACATCTCACAGTGGTTTTGTCTCTGGAGAAAATTATATTCTGGAACTATGTCCTCTCTGGCTTGGCTCACCTGTGCCTCAGAGAACCTGCTGAGCCCTCACTGAGCCTGTGGTCTGAGCATGTTGCAGCTGCTCGGGGAGTTCAGTTCTTGCACAGGTTTTCATGCTCTGTAAAGATGTCCAAAAGCTTTGAGAGGACATTGAGGTTCATGTGCTTTGAAGGTGTGTCCCTGATCGCTCCCACCTGGCTCTGCTAGAGGCTTGAGTGAGTCACTGGTTTAACTGGGGAAAAATACCATTTATTGAAGGGTATTTGGGGACCAAACCATGACACTGTTTCCAGTTAGGAGAGTTCAGAGCCTGCTCAGGGCACACTGAGCTGCACAGGAGCAAGGAAAGCAGCCTGGGGAAGGTGGGTCAGTCTCTGGGGACAAACAGCTCCTGGGCAGTCAGACAGGAGTGGGGACTGGGGAGGACACAACTCAGGGCCGTTGTTCATCTCCTTCACCTCCCTCATATCCCCACAGTTATCCTTCTGGAAGCTAACAGTCTAATGTGTCAATGGAAGCATCTCCTAGTTCTTAATGCAAGTGTCTTGCTCCTTTGCCCAGACCCATCCCCGGAGCAGGAAGAGCCAGACTCTGCCTTTGAGGCTACTCAGTACTTCTTTGAAGACATCACACCGGAATGCACGCACGGTAGGGCACGAAGGGGTGAGGTAATGCATGGCAACCACAGGGAGCTGCTCCTGAGTGGGCTAGGCCTTGTGAGTGCAGATGCTCTGTGGAGAGCAGTCTGTGGCAGCTGTGTGTGCTCTGAGCTCCTGGAGGAGCTGCAGCAGCTCCCCAGGCTGAGCTGTGACAGTGCCCGCAGTGAGGGTGTCATTGGGGTGTTGTAATTCACATCACTTTGTCACAACTGCAGCACATGTGCCTTGATGAAGGGTGACCTCTATTGGCTTTCGACAGTTTGGGTCACAACCTGAAATATTCTAAACACTGAGATCAAAAAATACATCAAAATGTAGTTGAGCAGTTTGAAATCTTCTTGTGCCCCAATGAGAGGCAACGTCTCCTCACTGTTGTCTTCAGTGGCGTCCTGGTTTCTGAGGTGGCTGATGTCAGGTTTCCTTCCATTCCAGAGGAATACAACCCACCCTTTGGGTTACAGGAGGAAGAAGGCTGTTTGGAAAGGTTGTTAATAGACTGGAAATGGAAAGTTTAAGCCCCGGGAGACAAAAGCAGATGCACTGATATAACCACCAAACATGCACCATGCTAGAGGCTGTGTTGTGGTCCCACGGGCTGATCACTCTACTGTGCAAACAAACCTAAAAACAAAACCCTGTCTGAGCAGTGACATTATAAACTAAATGGCATTTGTCTTCAGCTTTCAGAAGCAGCAAAAATCATCCATTATTCCTATCATTCTCACTCTGCATTTTCTGCAGCGTAAACATGTCCTTTCTTGCACTGTACACATGAAAAGTATGTTTGTACCTAAACCCACACTGATCTCTCTCCCAGTGGTTGGCCTGGACAGCAGGAGCAGACCAGGAGTAGACGATGGGTTTGTCACAGTGAGCCTGAAAACAGACAAAGGTACGTGTGGTGTCTCCATGTGAGTCACACCTTTGGTTCCTTGTGAAAATGGGAAGCAAAGTATTAATTTAAGGTTTCTTCATGGACTTTCTCCTGCATCTCTGCGTAATTTGTTGACAACAGGCAAGAAGAGCTCACAAGAGAATCGGAATTATCTGAGGATGTGGAGCCAAGAGAATAAATCCAAAGCAAAAAACACGAAGGACTTGCCCAAGCTGAATCAGGTACTTCTGCTGACACTTACTTTGCATCAACTTGAAACTTTCTTCACCTCTGTATAACTACCCAGCCCACGAGCTCTGAACAAAGGTTTATTCTGAGGTGGGTAGTTCTCACCAGAACATCATCAGTTCCTTGTCTGCAAACTCTGGGACTGGCATCAGCTCCCAGAGTGTCCCAGGAACGAGATACACACGTGTACGAACGGTAACATTTTGTTTTGGGCTCAGAGTGATGTGACACTAAAATCTCCAGGTAGCTCATAGTGTCTGACACCACAACCTGACAGGAGCATTTTGTGTTTGTACTTTGTCTCACTCCCTCTAGCCCCACAGCTGCTGAGGAGGAGGAGAACCCCTGGGACAGCTCCTTCCTCCAGAGCACATAGGGAAGGTTTGTTCCCTGAAGGACAATGACTCTTACTTAGGGAGCCCTGAGCAAATTTGTTTCCTATGTAAGTTTTGAATTTCAAAGGCCTTACATCCAGCTAAGCTACCCCTGCCGGGCAGTGCTGCAGGTCCTTCCCTCCCATAAATTTTATCAGAGCCTTAGTTACACTTAACATCATTCCTACAAGAAAATCCCTCAAAGAGTGCTCAGTGTCTCTGCTCACACTCTGTTGCCCTCCTGTGGCTGCACGGAACTGTATTTGTCATGTGTGGGACAGTTTGTTCTCAGCAGCCTTGGGAGAGGCCTCAGCTCTCCCTGTCCCCTCAGCAAACTCTGTGCTGCACAGGCCGTGTCCAGTCCCGGTGTGACCACAGACCACTGTGTTGTGCCTCAGTCCAGGCTCGGCCTGAGGAGGTGTTGGTCTAGCTTGTTCCTGCTCTCACTGGTGTTTTGTGCTCAGGGACAGTTCATCGAGCTGTGTAAGACGATGTACAACATGTTCAGCGAGGACCCCAACGAGCAGGACCTGTACCACGCCACGGCGGCGGTGACCAGCCTGCTGCTGGAGATCGGCGAGGTGGGCAAGCTGTTCGGCAC